CTTTCTCTCTGTCTATCGCTCTCTGGTCAAAATGGAAGAATAAGGATAATAAATAAAAATTTTAAGAATATTTCTTTAACTTCATTTGTTATCATTATTATTTTTTGTTAATGTGACCAGAGAGAGATAGAGAAAGGGAAAGTGAGAAAGGAAGTCACCAGGTCCAGGATTCGAACCATGGTCAGCCATGTGGGAGTCTAGCACCTCAACCACCATACCACCTGCCAGTCCCCTGAATTTGGCACTTTCAAGATGAAACTTAAGGGAACCAGCAGTTAGCGTAATGGCTATGTCGCTGGACTCCCACGTAATCGACTTAAAACTCACGCCGGGCGTGTGTGCGTGCGTGCACAAGATCCTGAGAGGAGAATGGAGGAGAAGGGATTGCGGCGTGACCATCCCCCCTGGGGGGGTGATTTCTCGCTTTCTGTCTCTATGTCTCTGTCTGGCGAGCACACGTGCCCTACAGTGAAAATCTCTCAAAAAAAAAGATGAAACTTAAGATCTCTGGGACCATAGAATTTCTTACAATCCCACTAGTCACCACTGCTATGAGTTTGGAGTGGATGTTTCCAGATCTTTTACTCTGCCTGTACACATGTGTACAGAGTACCATAGATGTTTCCTTAATTTTTTCATAACCTATGTTTCATTATATAATTTTTTTTTCACTCATCAATCAATACATTGAAGAGTTCTTCCAGGTCCTTTACACACCTCATCCTTTTTTGGTTTTTTGGAGAGGATTTTTTTGCTACAGGGTGCATACGTTCACCAGAAAGACAGACAGAGAGATAGGAAGTGAGAAATCACCCCCTGGGGGGGATGGCCACACTGCAATCCCTTCTCCTTCATTCTCCTCTTGGGCATAAAGAGGAGATCTTGGGCACACACACACATGCGCTTGGCATGAGTTTAAGTTACCAGGTCCGGGGTTTGAACTGTGGTCTACTACATGGGAGTCCAACAAGATAGTCATTACACCAACTGCTGGTCCCAACACAATTCATCCTTTTTAAAATATTTAATTTTTTTTTTGTTGTTGTTGTTGCTATAGGGCACGTGCGCTCGCCAGAAAGACAGAGACAGAGAGAGACAGAAAGCGAGAAATCGCCCCTCAGGGGGTATGGCCACACCGAAATCCCTTCTCCTCCATTCTCCTCTTGGGATCCTGGGCACGCATGCACATGTGCTCAGTGTGAATTTAAACAACTGGGTCCAGGACTCGAACCGCAGTTGACTATGTGGGAGTTCAGCGACATAGCCATTACTCTAACTGGTGGTCCCAAATTATTTTTTAAATAATTATTTTATTTTTATTTTAAAAAATAAGACCATGTAGGAATCCAGCACTCTTAACCACCCTGCTATCTATTTTATTTAACTGTATTTGTTTATTCATTCATCTATTTCAATTTGACCAGAGAGGGACAGAGTGAGTGAGAGAGAAAGTGAGAAAGCAGAATGCCAGGTCCGGGACTCAAACTATGATTGGCCATGTGGAAGTCCAGCACCTTTAACCATCATGCCACATGCCAGCCCCTATTATTATTATTTAAAAAATTTTTCAAACTTTTAAAATTTTTTTGGGAACCAGCAGTTAGCATAATGGCTATGTTGCTGGACTCCCATGTAGTTGACCGTGGTTCGCGTCCCGGACCTGGTGTGGCTTAAAACTCACGCCGGGCGCGTGTGCGTGCGTGCCCAAGATCCCAAGAGAATGGAGGAAGAAGGGATAGCGGCGTGACCATCCCCTCTGGGGGGGTGATTTCTCGCTTTCTGTCTCTCTGTCTCTCTCTGCCTGGCGAGCGCACGCGCCCTATAGCGAAAACCTCTCCAAAAAAAAGAAAAAAGAAAAAAAAATTTTAATTTTTGGAGAGGTTTTTGTTATAGGGTGCGTGTGCTCGCTAGAAAGAGAGAGATGAAGAGATAGAAAGTGAGAAATTACTCCCAGAGGGGATGGCCACACTGCCATCCCTTCTCTTCCATTTTCTTCTTGGGATCTTGGGCACACACGCACATGTGCCTGGCATGAGTTTAAGCCACCGGGTCCAGGACTCAAACCATGATCGGCTACATGGGAGTTGAGCGACATAGCCATTACGCTAACTACTGGTCCCTATTTTAAAAAATTTGACCAGAGAGAGAATGTGAAAAGCAAGCTGCCAGGTTTCAGACTCAAACCACAGTTGACCAAACGGGAGTCAGCATCTTAACTTCCATGCTACCTGCTGGCCCACACCTCATGTTTTTCTTCCCAATTTTTTTATTTTAGGGCACATGAGCCTGAGACAGAGTGAAAGTGAAAAACCACCCTCCAAAGGAGATGGCCTGCAGCAACCCCTTCTCCGTTCTCCTCTTGGAATTTTGGGCACAGGCACACAGGACTTGAACTGCAGTCAGCCATGGAGGATCCAGCCGCCTTACCCTCCATGCCACCACCAATTTTTACATTTTTTAAAGGTCTTTTTTTAAAAAAAAGAGAGGCCAGTAAATAAACGGCATAGCAGTTACGTCACTGGACTCCCATATGGCCAACCATGGTTTGAGTCCTAAAAAAAAAAAAAAAAAAAAAAGGGGAACAGGACCCTTAGTCTATACTCCCCAAA